GTCAGAGACCAAGTGACCAGAATACTATTTGGATATAGTTGAATTGGGTGTTTTTTTAGGGGCAATATTCTGACTCCATCTCATGAGTAGCACAAAGTTCACAATTTTTACCAGTTGCTTGGTCGACCTGAGAGTAGCCTGTTAAATGAATGAGGAAGACCATAAAGTAATATATCTCAGTCTTTTACTAACCCCTGTAGAGAGGAGCTATTCAATACTGTAAAGGGAGTGTCTGACCATAAATTGGGCACTAAAATAACTGAGGTGTTACCTTTTGGGCAGACAGCACCAACTGGTTACAGACTACTCTCTACTATACCAGATGGCACAGAACAAAGGGAACAATTCAAGGGTCACAATATGGATTCTGACTCTGCAAGATTTAAAATTTTATGCAGAACACAGGCCAAGGACCCAGCATGGGAATATTAAACAAATGTGCTCCTTCCCACATGTTTGAACAGAGGGAGGGTATGTCAGGCACTGACTGTGAATGGTGTGTATATGTGTCACTTAGGTTTCTTACCTACACCTATAGCTAAGCAAATAGCCAAAAAGAGAGAGCTAATAGTTGCAAATCCACTTTACTGAAGGTAATTACATATGATGTAGGATCCTAAACCTATTTATGTGTTGCTTGTTTATTGCCTTATGTATAGTGTTATAAAAAAAAAAGCATTGGTATTTTCTGGGCATGACATTCAAATGTTATTACTAGGATAAACCTCATCCATTAATCAGTGAAACAGTAAAACATTTTTATACTTCTTTTCTAAAATAAATAATACACACTCTTAAACACTTATTTTACATATGGTTGTTAATGGAAAGACTAGAAAAAATACCTTTTATTTCAGTAAATATGTGAATGCACAGGTCCTGTCATTTGTTACTGAACTAAATGTGCATAATTGCTGAATCTTTTCAGGCTGGCTAAGCAAAAAGTATATCTGAATATTTAACATTGCACAACAGATATGCTATAAATTAAAGTTTCAAGACATCACCTTGCACCTTATTCAATGGTGAAGATCCTTTCACAGCACAACATTAATTCCACTACATACACAGTATAACAATTAGTGTGGTCTGTTAAGTGTTTGGAATTCTATGGCTGTTTTGCCATTTGCTGCCTCTGCATACAAAAGGACTTCACTACTCATTCATATATTAAAAAAAATAGTCTTCAGGGCCTATTAAGGGTGGGATAATAGGCTAATATTTACAAATATAATCCTTTAAAATTTCTTGCAATTATTGTTATAGTAGCTTCTGATCACTTATAAAGTGATAATGATCAAATTTGCAGTCAAATGCACTGGTTATAACATATAGAAATAGGGCCTTACATTTTTCTTTTCTATAAAATAAAGGAAAGCTAGAAGGAAAGGATTAAAATACAGCATATGCACTTCTGTAACCAAGGAATTTATTAAAATACAGACAGATATATCCTCATGTTTTACTTTGTATATGAGTATGAGTACTTTGTAATGCTGTTTTTTTGGGGGGGGCATTATTTTATACTATGTCACTGAATGTAAAATCCAAGGATAGGTCTGCTGAAGGAGGAATAGCACTAACACTGATCAAAAAAACATGGTCTGTGCACCGAAGGCCAATGTAAAAATAATCTAACAGTGCTCGTTTTATCACCTATTTTTGTGGATTCATCTTCTATACACCTGTGCCCCATCCTTACAATTAAAGAATATACTATTTGTTGGCCTTGAAGACCAATTTTAAGCATCTTACTCAAAAGGGTAAATGAATCCAAGCTGGTAATGCCTTGGAAGATGTTGCTGTGTAGGACATGTCAGCAGTACACAAGAGTTTACAGTAAGATCCAGGCAGACAGAGTTAAAGTATGTTAAAGCAAAATGGCTTCTTAGTGCACATAGAATCTGATCAGCCAACCACCATAAATAGATTATTATAAATATACATGTACATTTAGTAGGAGCTAGAACATCTGATCAAATATGTTTTTTTGTATATTCTTACTTTAGTTGCTTAGGAAAGTCTATTAGGTATATGCACAAAACATGTCATTTGATGATGTCCAAACTTTTGCGTATAGCTTGTACTAATACAAAGTTTGCCAGTAAACCCTTGTTATGTAGGAATAAGTTTATTCCCTGGAATGAAATGAGCATGGTTCTCAATCAAAAATTTGTTGGAAATAATTTGGTCTGCCCAGATACTGTTGAAGTACTGTCAGAACCGTCTATCCCTTGCATAAACTTGTATTATTGATCAGAACAAAGTTTACAATATTTGTTTTTCAGTCCAGTTATAAACAGATCATTGGAGGGTAGCAGACTGTTGTAGAACACAGACACCCAATAGCTGCAGCCATCCTCACCTCCCTAAAGCTGTACTAGTGACTACATTCTATAATGAATAATCCCCATTTCCTGCCCTCCTGATTTCAATGCTGCTAGTTGCCTTTCTCCTATTAATATAGAAACAATGACATATTGTACTATAAATGGATGAAAATATAATTCTGGAAATAAACCAGCAAATATTCAGACAAAAATAAAATGCTACTATGTGACCATCAGTCAGAGAAATAAAAAAAAAAAAAAAACAAAGTTCCAATCACAGCAAAGTACAGTATGTTGCCCTGTTTCCAAACCAGGACAGTTGACAATTATGCTACAACTAGGTAAAAAAAACACATTACTACAACCTGTAAACCAATCCACATAGTAATAAAACAGTGTCTCTATATTCATTGGCAGTACAAATTAAATACCTACTGAAATGCAAGCAGTTTATGTGCATTATAGTTGTTGAAACAACATAACTTAAAGTAAAACCATAGGCAATTTTTTTTTATTTTGGGTAGAGCTTTCAATGATAATGGTAAACAATACATTTGTTCTATTTAGAAAGGGCGAATTTCCTTAATGAGGGCACAGACAGCAGTAAAAATTGACAAGCTTTCTAATCCCTCTCTACTCTATCCAAAACGTTAAAAAAAAAAGTTTTGCCTTTAGTTATACTTTAAATGTGCATGTTGAAAATATTATTTTTTTTATAATGACAGTAATTTCCCTTTTCTTGTGATTCCTCGTGTCATTGTATTATGGCTGGTTCCATCTCCTGGAACCCTCAGGACGACCCTTTTATTAGCTATAAAAGTTCCAACTAACCTCTAAGCCATGCTCTTGCTACAAAGTTAAAAGAAAACAGATGCATATTAGAAAGAACGATGTTGGGATGACCTGAAATCAATTGAAGAGGCCACCACATCCTTTCTTTAGAGCCAGAAGAAAGTGTTTTGATACCAGATAGCTTCTTTGTTTCTGCTGAAACTCCTGCAAAGGATGGAAGAAGGCAAGCTGCTAGTAAGACAGCCTTAATATATTTGGGATTGCAGAGCCTCGAATTTAGATTTCTATTGCTTTGGTGATCATGGAAGCTCTTATCTTTTGGTCATATTGGTAGCACAAAGTTGACTGTCACAACTTAAGTTCTCTTCTGTATGCTGTAGAGAACAGTGTAAAAGCTGTATTTTTTATTTCAGCGGCTGCCGGGCAATTACATTTGGAGGTTTTTTTTTCAAAAACTGGAGTATGGGTTTAAGGGCTGCAACCAGGGGCGGAATGAAAACTCATGGGACCCCCGGGTAATAGGGGATCATGGGGCCCCTGTGTCCTTGCCCAAACTCAAAAAAGCCTATGAAAAAGGTACCAGGGGCATCTCATGGGGCCCCCTACTGACCCCAGGCCCTCGGGCAGTGCCCGAATTTCCAAATGGTCAGTCTGCCCCTGGCTGCAACTTCTCTGCTTAGCGTTAAAGCCACCACATTAGGTTTCAGCACTTCCCGAAGCAGGTTTCCCTGAAACAAATGATCAAGTAAATGATGACTTCAGGTTAAGAAGGGAAAGCAGAATGATCATTATCACCTTACATTTGCACCTCAAACCATTCTCAAAGGTCCAGAGCATCACTGGGAAAGGTAAAAACACAAACAATAGAGGGAACATCAAGATAGCATTGAAAAGCTATTTGTCCTGCTTTTTCAAGTTTGAGGAAGATGAGCATGGTCTACAATTGCTCCAAGATCCACAAAGGAGTCCCCAACATTTAAAATTTTGTTCTCAGATAGAAGAGATTTAGGGACCACCCACTGTGATCTATTTTTTCCTGGGTGTACAACAACAAATAAACCCTCCGTCAGAAGAACAGATACTGAAACTACCTAATTTCATTTAGTGTGAGCATGAGGTGATAAAAGCTACGAAAATGCACAGAGAAAAGGATTTAAGCATACAGATCATCTAAAAACAAATACATCACTAGAAGAGGTAATAATTACTCATCAGAGACATCATATGCAGTAATCTTAGTAAAACAGGAGCACACAGAAATAGACAGTCAACTTCATACATAGATCCTTGGAACAACCAGACAGAGCAACACACTTGAAAAATAAAATAGCATGCATTGGCAACCAGAGCCAGAATTAACACAATTTCATACTCTAAAAGAAGAACTGGATGGACTTTTGTCTTTTTTTAGCCAGACTAACTATGTAACTATGTAACGTTCCTTGCAAATAAGAAGCAACTTCACTCCTTTAACAGCAGTCAGTTGTGCTTCTGTCCACATAGGAAGAGGCTTCAAAAAGGGCGAAGGCATTGAGAGTGCCAGAAACCAGATATGACATCAGAGACTGTATACATATATATATATATATATATATATATATATATATATATATATATAGAATCTCACAGAAGTGAATACAACCCTCACATTTATGTAAATATTTTATTATATCTTTTCGTGTGACAACACTGAAGAAATGACACTTTGCTACAATGTAAAGTGATGAGTGTACAGCTTGTATAACAGTGTAAATTTGCTGTCCCCTCAAAATAACTCAACACAAAGCCATTAATGTCTACATTGCTGGCAACAAAAGTGAGTACACCCCTAAGTGAAAATGTCCAAATTGGGCCCAATTAGCCATTTTCCCTCGATCGGTGTCATGTGACTCATTAATGTTACAAGGTCTCAGGTGTGACTAGGGAGCAGGTGTGTTAAATTTGGTGTTATCACTCTCACTCTTTCATACTGATCACTGTAAGTTCAACATGGCTCCTCATGGCAAAGAACTCTCTGAGGATCTGAAAAAAAGAATTGTTTCTCTACATAAAGATGGCCTAGGCTATAAGAAGATTGCCAAGACCCCGAAACTGAGCTGCAGCACGGTGGCAAAGACTATCCAGCGATTTAACAGGACAGGTTCCACTCAGAACAGGACTCATCATGGTCGACCAAAGAGTTTGAGTGCATGTGCTTTGCATCATATCCAGAGGTTGTCTTTGGGAAATAGACATATGAGTGCTGCCAGCATTGCTGCAGAGGTAGAAGGGGTGTTGCAGAGGTAGAAGGGGTAGGGGTTCAGCCTGTCAGTGCTCAGACCATACACCGCATCAAATTGGTCTTCAGGGCTGTCATCCCAGAAGGAAGCCTCTTCTAAAGACAATGCACAAGAAAGCCTGCAAAAAGTTTGCTGAAGACAAGCAGACTAAGGACATGGATTACTGGAACCATGCCCTGTGGTCTGATGAGACCAAGATAAACTTATTTGGTTCAGATGGTGTCAAGCTTGTGTGGTGGCAACCAGGTGAGGCATGCAAAGACAAGTGTGTCTTGCCTACAGTCAAGAATGGTGGTGGGAGTGTCAGGGTCTGGGGCTGCATGAGTACTGCCAGCACTGGGGAGCTACAGTTCATCGAGGGAACCATGAATGCCAACAGGTACTGTGACATACTGAAGAAGAGCATGATCCCCTCCCTCCGGAGACTGGGCCACAAGGCAGTATTCCAACATGATATTGACCCCACACACACCTCCAAGACGACCACTGCATTGCTAAAGAAGCTGAGGGTAAATGTGATGGACTGGCCAAGCATGTCTCCAGACCTAAATCCTATTGAGCATCTGTGGGGCATTATCATCGGAACGTGGAGGAGCACAAGGTCTCTAACATCCACCAGCTCCGTGATGTCATCATGAAGGAGTGGAAGAGGACTCCAGTAGCAACCTGTGAAGCTCCATGCCCAAGAGAGTTAAGGCAGCGCTGGAAAATAATGGTGGTCACACAAAATATTGACACTTTGGGCCCAATTTGGACATTTTCACTTAGGGGTGTACTCACTTTTGTTGCCAGCGGTTTAGACATTAATGGCTGTGTGTTGAGTTATTTTGAAGGGACAGCAAATTTACACTGTTATACAAGCTGTACACTCACTACTTTACATTGTAGCAAAGTGTCATTTCTTCAGTGTTGTCACATGAAAAGATAAAATAAAATATTGCCAAAAATGTGAGGGGTGTACCCACTTCTGTGAGATACTATATATATATATATACATATATATAGCAGTAATATGGGTGGAGTGCACAACCATGATCAATCACAGTGCATAGCAATCAGGCCCTCCCACAGGCCATATATATAAAAAAAGAAAGTTGGATTCCTGCACATAAAAACATTTATTGTTGAAAAATCACCATACAAAAGGGTGATCCAAAAAAGTGGACAAAGTCATACATCATAGTGTTCAACTGTTGAACACTATGATGGATGGCTTTGTCCATTTTTTTGGATCACCCTTTTGTATGGTGATTTTTCAACAATAAATATGTGCAGCAATCCAACTTTCTTTTATATATATATATATATATATATATATATATATATATACACATATATGTATATGTATAGTATAGACACACACACACACACACACACACTGAAGTACCAGTCTCTGATGTCATATCCTGTGTATGGCACTCCCAATGCCTTCACCCTCTTTACAACTACAGCAGCTTCCTACGTGCTCAAATATACAACAATAGTATCTACTGCCCCATTATGTTAGAGTACAGAAGAACTAGAAACACTAATTTCCATTAGAATGGTGTTTTGCGCAAAACTAGTTCTTCTGTACTCTAATACAGTGGGGAAATAGATACCGTTGTGGTATATTTGGGCAATGTAAACTATTGGCACTATTGGCCAGGTAATATACACATTTTTAGCTGTTCCCATTTTTTGGGTGAGTTCTTGTCAAACACTGGATCCAAGCGATGTCAATACGAATTAACCATAGCTTGACCTTTTGACATATTTGACGCATGGAGTGCATCATACTACAGTGCCATCTACAGTTTGGAGAAAGCAATGCTTCTCTCATGGAAAGTTATGTAGGTAGAAAGTAGAAAAGGCTATGCTCAGGTGGAAATGGTTCACAAACTTTCTAAAAAGAGGCTAGCAGCACAAATTGAAAGTAAAAGAATATGACAAACAGCAATTTCATTATTTTCCAAATTAATACAATTGGGGTCTCTCATCCAAGATTTGAACCAAAACTATTGGGGCTCTCCTCGGAGATTTGAACCACAACACAAAACAGAGGCTAGGGACTACAGCAAAAGAGAAACCATAAGGACAATAATTAAAAGTCTGAATGTAAAAGTTAAAAATATGGACAAGTATAGGTAAGGGGGGAGGGAGGGAAAAAACAAGGACATCATGGATAATACATCAAGGATCACCATTTTACCATATAGACTCACTGAGCTGTGGACAATTCTTTTTACAGGCTTTCGCAGAAGTTATGCCCTTTGCCCCCTCAGTAAAGTGGAATTGAAGTCTCACTGTTAACACCTGCAAGCATGCAGGCTTTTACTGCAGAAGAGACATGCACTGTCTCTTCTGCAATAAAACACCCCTACCTGCCACTTCGCTGTCTCCTCCAGTACTGTAAACTGAGCGGTGCATGCACAGTCTCCAAGTGCTGGGATGTCAGCCTACTGCACATGCACAGTAGTGATTTCACCCCCCACCAGTCAATGAAGACCGACACTTAGAAGAAGATAATAGCACACGGCCATTGGACAGACAAGTATGGAGTCTTTAGTTCTGCTTTAAAACAAAAAAAGCTAACAATTTCCACCAGCTCAGTCAAACACAGTGCAGTATTTTTCTTTTTTGGAGAGATATATGAAACATTCAGTTTAAAAATGTTCTATCTGAAATACAGACTGCAAAGAACTGCAGAGTCAAAATTACATGTAAAGAATAAAAGAGGAGTATATCAATTTTTCAATAGCAGCTTTGACAAATAAGAGCTGCACCAGATTTTGCACTCTCCAGTTTTAGTAAATCAGCCGCATTTTGTATAGTCGTTATCACTTACTAATTTTAATGGTATAATCATATATTTAAAGTATTTTAATATTTACCCACTGAAAAAGGGGTATTTTTCTGAAGCAAAAATGAATAATTTGAAATGTTAGCAGTCGTGCCAATTATTTCAGCAGCATTGAGACCACTTACATCATTTTAGTCTAAACCAGGCTTAGCTGTAGACATAACCACCCTCCCCCCCATTCCTAATTCAGTTCCTTCTTAAGTTGTAATGAAACCAAATATGCTAGTGCCTCAGCAACTATGCTAATCATTTTGGCTTATGACTACACTGTTGGAATAGGGCATCCAACCAGTTTGTCTGAAAATCAGACATACATCCAACATAAAGACATGATCCTGCAAGGATTCTCCCATCTTTGCTGTGGCACACCAGGTTGTCTCCCGATTGCTGCTTTGATCCATTCAGATTATTCAAGGCCACATTCAAGGTTGTGCCATTCAGTATCTTATACAAATCTGTGGAAAGCCTTCTCCCATTTAGGGTCCAGAACAGGTCCTCTGCTTTCAGGTTTAAGTCAGAGTCCACTAAGCAAGCTGCAGTTAGTGATGATCCTATCATTAAGGTAGGGTCCTGTGGGGATATAACAGCGGGATCTGTAAAAAAAATGGAATTAAAAATTTATTATGAAACAGGGTTAGAAATACATGTTAAGGAATGTGAGGAGGATTTGGGAAAAAGCATGCACAGGTTTAGCAGTTTAAGAAGAACACGGATCTGTCAGCATGCACATTACCTAAATGTTTATCTTACAAGTACAAGAATTCCATACTAAACAATTATACTAAAGCAAGATAACAACTGAATTTGCAGGATAAACATATATTTGCCCTTAAGCTGGGTATACACTAGTAGAATTGTGTTCAACATTTTTTAGTTGTAAGAATGTTTAATTTTTCTAAACATTAGTGGGGTCCATTAAAAAATAATATATAAAGTCCATTTATGTCAAAATTGAATGTCAAAAGCAAGCACAATCTTGAGATACTTTCAAATGACATTCCAACGTTCTGAGAATTTCTATACAAATTTTAAATTGAAATTCTACAAGTGTATACTCAGCTTAAACCTCATGTCTATATTATGTTGTGGTATTCAAGTCTTTGTGATTTTTTTTTGTCCTTTGTGGTTGTGTAGAGCCATTTTTGTTAAGTTATTAGGTAGTCTGTATGCATCTTGTGGGATCTTAGTACAGTTAGAAAACACTGTTTACAGTGTTCAACAGTTAGCTTATTAGATAATGCTATAGTTAGCAAACATTCTTAAGATAATGTCAACAACACTTCATCTACTGTACTTCAATACACACTTTCAGGGTGTTAGGATAATATCACTTGAACATTTTTGACTCAAAGATTCAAAAACATGAAAGCTGGGGGGGTTGATAGTCTGTTCATTTTGCAAGGGAGGTTGTACGTTGGAAAGGAATAAGCCCCAGAGTTAAGTATATGTGGTAAAGAATATCCAATGACTAGCAAGGGAAATATATATATATATATATATACAGTTGCAAGAAAAAGTATGTGAACCCATTGGGATTACGTGGAGTTTTGCATGAATTGGGCATAAAATGTGCTCTGAACGTCATCTAAGTCACAACAATAGAAGAGCACAGTCTGCTGAACATAATACTACACAAACATTAGATGTTGCCATGGTTTAGTTTGCACATAACATGTAAACATTCACAGTGCAGGGAGGAAAAAGTATGTGAACCTTTGGACTTAATAACTGGTTGACCCTCCTTTGGCAGCAATAACCTCAACCAAACGTTTCCTGTAGTTGCAGATCAGACCTGCACAACGATCTGGAGTCATTTTGGACCACTCCTCTTCACAAAACTGTTTCAGTGTAGCAATATTCTTGGGATGTCTGGTGTGAATCGCTCTCTTAAGGTCATGCCACAGCATTTCAATTGGGTTGAGGTCAGGACTCTGACTGGGCCACTCCAGAAGGCGTATTCTGTGCTGTTGCAGCCATTGTTTTGTTGAATGACTTGTATGCTTTGGGTCATTGTCCTGTTGCATCACCCATCCTCTGCGGAGCTTCAGTTGGCGGACAGATGGTCGTACGTTTTCCTGCAAAATGTCTTGATAAACTCTGGAATTCATTTTCCTATCAATGACAACAATCCGTCCAGGCCCTGAGGCAGCAAAGCAGCCCCAAACCATGATGCTCCCTCCGCCATTTTTCACAGTGGGGATGAGGTTTTGATGTTGGTGTGCTGTGCCTTTTTTTCTCCACACATAGTGTTGTGTGTTCTTCCCAAACAACTCAATCTTGGTTTCATCTGTCCACAGTATATTCTGCCAGTAGTGCTGTGGAACATCCAGGTGCTCTTTTGCAAACTTCAAACGTGCTGCAATA